AAAGGAGCCCAAGATCATATAAACCTTTCCCCTCCTGTTGCCGGGAGCAGTTTTTGGCACATCTTACCATGGAGGGGGTCATGACAGGGTGGAATGGATACACTTCACAGAACTTGGAGCCAGAGACTGGGTTCTCAGCCTGCCTTTGCCACTAACCCACTTTGTGACCTTGGGCAAGGTGCCTAACTTCTCTAGACCTCTGTTTCCATATCTGTATCATGAGGGGCTCAAGTCAGAGCAGTGATTTCAAAGGAGAGAGGTACCTCAGGACACCAGGGCAGTCCTGTATTATGTTACGTAGTGGACTTCCTTTAAGATTTTATAAGAAGAAAGTATTCTGTGGCCACAAGAAGATAAGAAACCCAGTGAATTTCCTGCCTTTTTAATGATTCTAGAAGTCCATCATTCCCTCCTAAACATCTGAAGAACTCTTCGGGGAGGTAGAGGACCGTTTCATAGGACAGTGCTACACTCTGGTACTTTTGACCCATGATGATGCTTGGATCTTTAGATCTTTTCTTTCCATGATGTGTTCTGGTCAGTCCTTTCCTACTCTTTCCATGGGTTTTGTTAGAATTCTGCGAGGATGGGCTTTGGTATTGGTTTATTTTGGATTGAACCCCACAATGCTCAAGCTGTTTAAGCCATTGTGGTGACTGGCACTAACCTGGTCACTTGGTATCTTCACTACTAATCTATTTCCTTCCCAGAAGCTCTTGTAGAAAGGTCAGATTTCAGGCTGTGGCCTGTGGAACTTAACTCAGTGCTTCCCCTCAACTTGACATTGGGTCACAGTTGGCACTCACATTCCAAGGTTGTGAGATGTCAGCAAAGAGCTCCCATTTCAAAAATTAAGCATGCTTTTCCCTACTCTTCATCAACTAAGTGACCTTGGGCAAGTCACCAACCTTCTTTAGGCCTCAATTTCCCCATTTACACAATGAGGAGATTAGGCTGGATAATATCTTAAGAGCTCTTACGACTCTAACATTCGAAGATTCCATGTGATACAAGCTACTTTCCCCTTTAACAGTGACAGTTATATTATTAAGAGAGGAAGAGCCCTTGCCCGTTCATGGATCTCCATTTCCCCATGGTTAACATAGGGAGCGCATAAGACCCCATCCCATTTTACCAAGTTGGGAGTAGTGGTTGGGGAGAGTTGGTCAATAATTTGTTGGGTGCCTTAATGGAAGAGTAGCCTTGATGAAAATGACAGGCATTGCCATGCCTTCCTATGCCCAGCCAATTCTGGGGACATGTCATCCCAGAGTGAAACCTTCCAGTGGTAGATTGGTCCCTTCTTACAGAGAGAAAAGGTAACCCATTCTTCAGTTGCCTGATATTTCATGTTAACTCTTCTTGCTCCAATTGAAACACAGGGCTCAGAGCATTGGGTATTTATAGACAGAGCATACACTAGGCCAGAAGAACTTGGTCTCCTTACCGTGGCCACCTTGCAGCAGGAAGAAAGCGAGGCAGGCCTTGCTGATGTCCTTGCTGATGGCAGACTCTCCAAGGTAGATGTTCTGGTGGACAAGTTTAAAGTTGAAGTAGCCACAGAAGAAATGGTGGGAACCAGAAGAGCAAACATCCACCAACGAGGGAGAATGATTGCAAGTCCTGAAGACTTTGAGTCAGTGTGGGAGGAAGGCCCCTGGGTCAGGGAAGTCCTGGGAAGGGCTTCCCTGGCTGCTGGTTGCACTTTGGCAGAAAAACTCCTCAAGGGCTCCGAGCTCAGGGTGGGCACCCAGGAGGCAACCATCAGGAACCACTGCATCTCAGACAGTCAGCTGGAGGGCCAGACAAAACCAAGGAAGGGGCTGGAGGAGCTCCAGACTTGTGGAAGACCCACTGCCCCAGGGACCAAGCCAGCAGAGGTGGACATCCCCTCTCCTGCCTCCGACAAGGGAGGACTCCAGTCCTTTCTCTTGGATCCAGTCTACATGGAAGCCAGAGCCTACTCGAGTGATGAAACTGATACCTCCTTTGCAGAGAGGAGCTTCTATTTAAACTATGCAGAGAAAGACTTGGAAGACCAAGTCCTCCCTCCACCCCTGGAGGAGAGAGAGAAGCATCTAGATGCCCCTCCTGGAGATGAGACCAGGCCAGAGCTGAATTCCTCAGACCTGAGGGGCTCTGCGTTAGCTTCCGGCCAGAATGAGGATGGAGCCCACACGGCTTCCTCAGAGGAAGGGATGGGGCCCCCCGAGAACCATGAAAGACTGGATGACCTGAAGGAACCTTCTCCATGGCAGACATTTGCTGAGGACTGGGAAGAAGCCCAGTGTGGGGTGGAAGGAGAGTTTACCCACCTAATAGCCAGTGCAGCCAAAGAGGAAGAGGCCCTCGTGAGTGGAGATTTGATGGGAGAGGCTGAGAAAAGTCCACCAGCAGGATCAAAGAACCGCTCACCTCATGGAGGAAGGAGTGTGCACCCAGATGCCCAGACTCGCGCCCTTCCGTGGAAGCCAGCCAGACTGGACAGAGGCAACTTCCTGCCCAAAGAGAGGGGATCAGTTCACACCCACATGGGAGAACCTGAGATGGCAGACCTCGAGGCCTCGGCGTTTCTTCACATGGAGGTGATCATCCCCCTGCCAGCCTCCCCTGGTCACTCTGAGGCTCTGGCAGCTTTGAAGGAAGAGTCTCTAAATCCAGCCACTCACAGGTCAGGGGAGCCTTCAGAGCACAGGGATCTCTTTGAACAGTTCCCTGTATTTCTCAAACATGTCCATCCTCCTAAAGAGATCCTGGAGCTCAAGGATCAAGTAGGGTTGGTTGTATCCCCAGACACAGGAGGTGAGCGCAGGGCACCTCCCGTCACCAGCAGAAAGCCCAGAGTTGTCCCTGAAAAAGCTGAGGGGGCGATACCCCTGGGGTTGGTCTTCCCTTCAGGGAAGCAAAAAGAGATGACTTCTTTCCAGTCTTGGAGCCAAGAAGGCTCCCTGGAAGATATTAGTAAGACCTCAGTGGCCAACAAAATTCGGATATTTGAGACCCATGGAGCTGAAACTCGTCGAACAAGTCAGGGTGAAACTCGGGCCCTTCCAAGTGAATGGTCTTCAGAGGCCTCCACAGGGCAGGTTGAGCAACAGCTGAGTAAACTTTTAGACCTGGGCTTTGTTGAAGCCCAGCCCCTAGGGGACCTCGCCAGCCCCCAAGCCACACATTCCTCTATGATACCTCTGGCTATCAGACACGTCGGGGAGGGCACTTCTACCACATCCCACCAGGAAAGATGCACGGAACTAGAGCTCGTGTCCCCCAATTCAGGCTGCGAAACCACGCTGGAGGAAGCTACTGGGGTAACTGGCAATGTGAGCCCCTGCCCCCATCACTGTCCCCCGCCGCCATGGGGGTGACCGCATGCTGGGTAGCTCTTTAGAAGCATGTTTCAGTGGCCCCTCGTCATCACTGCAATCAGAGGCTGCTTGTCCATCCCTGTGAGTTCTTTTCCCTAAACAGGCCTGAGTACAGCCCAGGCTGAACGATGGGTTCATCTGCTTGGCCCTTGTTAGCTTGGCCACAGAGACTCTCAGCTTTTGGTGTGACCTGGTGCTCTGTGGAGAAGGTGGCCCCACTACCAGCAAATAACACATGCTTTGCCTTGCTGCTCCCACCTGCTAGGTTCCTACCTGTCTTGCTTGGCTTGTCCAGTGATCTTTCTTCATCTTTTCCCATCCCTGGTTCTCCTACCTTGGGGAAGCTGACAGTGCAGAGGTTTCCATCCGTCACTTCTGATTCCCTCTCAGTCCCAGCGTCAAGTTTCTTTCTGCCTCCTTAAGACTAACTATCTTCTCTAATCCAGAACAAATCCGGAGATGCGGTCAGGGAAGAGAAGCACTTCACCAGCTTAGCAGCGAACGCCCCTGAGAAAGGGGGGCGCCTGAGATTCGCCAGCGCCCCGGGCCCTCAGGTCTCTACAGTCCTTTTGTGCCCTGATAACCCGGTCATCTTCACCCAGCCAGGATGCATCGCTGCCTTAGATTCCCACCTGCTCTAGCAGCACCTCTTGTGGCTGCTCAACTCTGGCTTGTCTGGAATGTATTCCTCACACCTCTCCAACCTTCTAGAAACTGGCTAAATGGAGGCTTGTTTAGCAAGTGAATCTTTAAGGACACTGAATCTCTAGAACCTGAGGCCAAGTTCTTTAAAAATATTTTGTGGGTGTTAGATTGGTCTTAAAAAAGAATGTCATGAACCAGCCAAAAATGTGTGTGGTGTTTAATCCCTGACAGGCCAGTTGAGAGGTATGTATGTTGGACAAGAGTTGCTGGTTCCCCTTAGGCATTTCCTTGTCCTGCTGTTGTCAATTACACTGATGGGACCAGAACCTCCTCTCCATGGCCTGCCTGTGGCCCACTCATGGAGCTTGGGGTGGAACTGGTGTAGCACACAGCTTCCAGGGAGCTCATGCCCAAAGGGCCTGACCCCTAATTGTTCCTCCCGCTATCCAATGCTGACCCTTTGCATGGGGACTCAGTGGAATTGACAAACTGTGTTGGCTTCCTTTTTGTTCCTCAAAGCTCTTGGCTCCAGCCTCTGCCTTCCCTTCCTGGGTTTCCCTGAATCCCTGGGCCTCCCTCCTTAGCTTCTGTTTCTCAATACCTGCCTGCACGGATAGGCCTGGGGTCCAGGTCCATCCCTGCCTGTTGCACAACGCTGCTTCTAATAAGCTCCCAGATCCAAACCTGGGATGGAGCCTCCTGTCCAGGACTCACTGGCAGGACGTTTGCTTTGTACTTGCTTTTGCCAGCAGTGTGAGAACCTCGGAAAGGAGCAACCCCACTCTTGAGAAGTTTTTGTTTGTTCAATCTTGTTATGATTTCAAGGAGCCTTTCCTGGGGGTGTTTTTCATTTCCTGACTTGCTCTTCCATTTGGGACATTGACACAACCGCAAGATTTCTTCTGACATTCACCATCTTGATTTCTCTCTTTCTCTCTCTCTCCCTCTCCACTCCCACATTCCCCTTCCTTTGATTTTATCTGGCCATAGAGAGCAGGGCTGAGGGAGGGCTCAGAGGAGAAAGTCAAACCACCACGTCCCCGGGCCCCAGAGAGTGACACAGGAGATGAGGACCAGGACCAGGAGAGGGACGCAGTGTTCCTGAAGGACAACCACCTGGCCATTGAGCGCAAGTGCTCCAGCATCACAGTCAGCTCCACATCCAGCCTGGAGGCGGAGGTGGACTTCACGGTTATTGGTGACTACCATGGCAGCGCCTTTGAAGACTTCTCCCGCAGCCTGCCCGAGCTTGACCGAGACAAAAGTGACTCAGAAACCGAGGGCCTGGTGTTCTCCCGGGATCTCAAGGGGGCCGCCAGCCAGGATGATGAGTCTGGGGGCATAGAGGACAGCCCAGATCGAGGGGCCTGCTCCACCCCGGATATGCCCCAGTTTGAGGTACAGTGGAGCTTCATCAAGCCTTGGGCCCAACGGGTACTGCATGTGCAGAGGGCCCTGGGCCCTCTGTGAGAAGACCGCGCAGCCAGCCTGCAGCCTGAAGCTCTGTCTCGTGTTGCATGACTGCCTTCCGCAGAACAGCATGGTTCTGTGATCGCATGTTTGCCATGTTGGTTTACCCCTAACATGCGCTCCTTGGCGTTTTAACCCCATGACCTCATTGCTTGCCGAGGTCAAGCTATGACAGTCTGGTCTGGACTCCTCTCCCTGCCCATGTTGCATGGCACCTGCAGAAAACATGTGTCTGTGGACTCTCAGGGGCTTCTGAAGCCTCCTGAAAGTTGAATGGTTTTTCCTGATCCAGGCCCAGGCTCATCTCCCTGGGGCCTGGGCTTCCTGGGGAAGGGCTAGCAGTTTAAATGCGTCTGGCCCTGGGGTCTCGGGGTGGCAGTGGAAACTCCTGGAGATGAGAAAATGTATTCATTGAGGATGACACAGGGACAGACTGTCTCTGGGCCTCTCTGCTTTGTGGCCCTCCTCTACAGAACCACAAAGGAATCTTTCCAAAATATGTCTCTGTTCACTTTATTCCTCTTCCCCCTCTCTCTTCTAGCCCCAGTCTCCCTTCCACACTCTCCTTTTGCCCATGTTCCAGGCATTGAAACACGAGCTTGTCTGCTCTGGGCTCTCACTCCATGCTGTACCCTCTGAGTAGGTTTTTTCTCCCTTTCTGTGCCTTGCAAACTTATCCTGTTCCAGGACAGAGTTCAGATGCCAGTCCCCTAGCAAATGCTTCCCTGATTACCCTGGGCAGAAGTATTTCCCCACACAGCCCCCTTGCTCTGTAAATGCCTCTGCTCCAGCATCATACAAAGTAATCTGGTCACTGGTGACAGGTAGGACAGGACCTGCTCTTATGCCGAGTGGAGTTCCTCTAAGCCTGGCATGTACTAGGCACTAATAGATAATTAATCGAATGAATAGCTAGATTGCAAGGTTACACCATCTGTAAAAACCTCCCCTCACCACCATTCCCCTTACCAGATAACAGACTAGCTTTCATTCATTCATTCAGTTCCCATGTGTTAATACCTGCAGTGGGTGTAGCCATGAACCAGGCTTGGTGGAGGACTCAGAAGAAACTGATCACTTACCTTAAGACTTCTAGAGTCGAGGTAAACTGGTGGCCCCAGGCCAGGTCTGGCTAGCAGATGTGTTTTCTTGGACTCTGATTTAAAAATCAGGACATTGAATCATGGTTTTCTTGTATAATTTAAAAAAATCAGATGGTCCAGACACTCAGAGGCTGTGGTAACCGTTGGCCAAACCTGAGTGGAATCCCACATGCTTTCTACTGCACCTCAGGCCCCAGCAAGCCCATTTCACTCATTTAAATCTCCTGTCTGGGCCTTGTAGGCCTCCAAGTGTGTGGCACCTGCTCTAAGAACAGTGCAAATGAAGCAGCCAGGAGGTGGTGGTTTAACCATTGAAGTCATTCAGGATTCAGTGACATTATATATATGAGGAAAACACTTAGCATGAGGCCTGGTACAGAGTATTAATGGAATGGTAGATGTGCTTTTAATGGTAGCCTACAGAAACAGCAGATAGCCACCATGAGCTTGTGTGGAGCAGTGCACGGGGCAGGTCTGTCTGGGCTGATGGTGGCTCTGGCTCTCCCATTGGGCTGTTTGCCTGTGACATCAGCCATGCCTCTTTTGTCCTGACCTACGTACCCTCCCAGAGACTTGGCCGGCTGTGGGGGTAGGAGATAACCTGCTGACCCTACACCACAATTGCCTGTGAGCAGGAGTCATGCCAGGGCTTGAGTGAGAGCATTCTCCTTCATCTCCCTACAGCCTGTAAAAACGGAAACCATGACTGTCAGTAGTCTGGCCATCAGAAAGAAGATTGAGCCAGAGGCTGTACTGCAGACAAGAGTCACCACTGTGGACAATGCCCAGGTAAGCGTTGCCTTCCAGTGTACCCTGAACATGGGCATTGGGCATTTGGGGGTAGAGTCCCCACTGCCATGGCCAAACTCCTTGGCCAATCTTTCCCACCGCAGCTTCCGTAGAATCCTCATTCTAATCCTGGTGCGCTTTTGAGCTCCCCAAGTTCTGGGAATGGGGGTGTGGTGGAACCAGTTCTTGTTTAGGGCAGACTATACCTCTTAAAGCCTCAACTTCCCCGTCTGTAAAATTGAGGTGATCCTGTCTCTCCCTTCCTCCAGAAGTGCTGGGAGGACTAGTGGCTAGTGAATTAGGATCCTGGTTTTTATATTTCCTGAAGGAATTGGGGAGGTTTCTTGAGATATTCCAGGGCTGCTTGGAGAGAGGAGTGGGAGAGATCCCAACTCAGCTTTAGTCAGAACAGCTCACCTTAGGTCATTTTTTATACATGGGGCTCCACATCAGATTGGCAAAATAAACAAACTGGGGCCAGCCCGGTGGCGCACTCGGTAGAGTGCAGTCTTAGGTCATTTTTTATACATGGGGCTCCACATCAGATTGGCAAAATAAACAAACTGGGGCCGGCCCGGTGGCGCACTCGGTAGAGTGCGGTGCTTGGGAGCATAGCGGCGCTCCCGCCAAGGGTTCGGATCCCATATAGAGACCGGTCCGCTCACTGGTTGAGCGCGGTGCAGACGCGACACCGAGGGTTGCGATCCTGTTGCCGGTCGCGGTACAGGCGCAACACCGAGGGTTGCGATCCCGTTACCGGTCACGAAAAAAAACAAAAAAAGGAAAAAAAAGTAAATAAATAAACAAACTGAAAAAAAGACCCAGAATCATTTGTCTTAGCAAGATGAAGCATACCTAGCACCCTGGAGAAAGCTGTCATGAATAGACACAGGCGCACTACCACAAAAGGTGCATTCCCTATGTTCCTTTTGTGGTTTTTGAAATTTGAAGATTGAGATTGTGGGTCTGATAGATGCCCTCTTGGTTTTTCCTGGCCAGAGGAGATACAGCACTGGGAGATTTCTTGCCCTGAGACCAGTCTTTGTCTCAAGAACTGAGATAAGACATACAAGCACAACATGGTCAACTGTGTTGTTTCCCGAAGTTTTCTCCCACTTTATAATAATGCTGGGGATGTATGAGGCTGCCTAGTACAGGTCAATGCTCATGAGTTCTGATAGCTGTGTGACCTTGGGCAAGCTGCTTTCCCTCTCTGGCCTCTTTTGTTTTAGTAACATGTAACATGTGTTTTGTTGTGTTTTGTTTTGTTTTGATACAGAAAAGTGTAAACAAATTTAAAATGGCCCAAATCCCCAGCCCAGTAACCTTTGTTGACATCAAGACAAAATAACAAAGAAATGTTCACAGTTATGAAATTCAAACAAAATGAAATTTTTATGATACTTCCCAGAAAAAAAATGTATGCATCTTCCAACATTGATACCTACATCTCTATATGCTTAAAAATTTTACACAAAAATGATCGCTCTCTTTTACACCTTATCTTTTTTTTTCTTAATAATTATTTTCAAGATCATTCCTTATTTGCATATATGGACTCACCTTACTCATCTTGTTCCCACTAAAGAGGTGAATCCTGTTTTATTTTGCCATCTCCTATCATTGGACCCTGGCGTTGTTTTTGTCTTTTGTAGCTTATGATCAGTGCTGCAGTGGACTTCCTTGTTCATACTTCTTGGTGAACTTTTCTTTCTTTATTTTGGCGGCTGGCCAGTATGGGGATTTGAACCTTGACCTTGGCATTATAACACTGTACTCTGACTAACCGAGCTAACCTGCCAGCCCCTCTTGGTGAACTTTTCAAAGTTTATATCCAAAGAGTAAATCCCTAGGGGTTGCTAGGTCAAAGGATACGTGCATTGAAATTTAGGTAGAATTTGTCAAATTGTCTGGGATTATTTTTCCTTTGTCAAATACAACAGTTGAAATGAAGTGAAGGTCCTGTGAGGCCCCTCTGCCATTTGGCCTGTGTGTGGACCACACCCAGTGCATGCTTCCTCACACAGCCTGTCACTTTGTCACAGGGAATGCCGTGGGCTCAGGTGACAGGTGCCGTAGGTATATCTGGCTCTGTCTCTAACGCCTCCTCTCGCTGGCAGGTTGATGGGAGTGCCCCAGTGGGAAAGGAGTTCATAACAACCACTCCCTCCATCACCACGGAGACCATATCAACCACCATGGTAAGTAGAACCTAGAAAGTTTCCCTTGCCCCCCCCAAAACAGCCGGAAAACAAGCTAACATTGCCCGGCTGACTCAGGAATTTCCTAGCTGCCCTCACTGTATTAAGCATGGAACATAACATACAGTTGAGTGTGTATTGTCTGGTCCCTTAGTTGCCACAGGATAGAGTCAGACCTCAGTTTGCCAAATTGAATAATGTGGGAGATGGAATCTGTCAATCCCTGTTATCTGGACCATCTCAGCCACGGAAGGGGTAGAGGGAGGACAGTGCTGTTTGATTATTGGCATGCACAAATCTCACCTCTAGATTCCACTGACCAATCTCATCTCCAGTCTGAAGGTGAGCCTGAAATTCCCCAGGACCCATCCTCCTGGCCACTGAGCATTTTCTCGTGTCTCGTGCCACTTCCTAGCTTTGGCCAGTAGATGGCGTGCAGCGAATCTGAGTTGGAAACTCAGGGTTTTGGACTGCCTCAGGAGGGACCTTGTGGTTCTGCTACCTATTTGCTATCTGGCCCATGAAGAAAGGTCCTTGGCCTCAGATGTCCTCATCTGTAAAATGGGAATAATCCCCAGTCTGCCTGGTGCACAGGTTCTTAAGAAACTCCAGTAACACCTGATCCTTTAATGACGACACAGAATAGACAGCATTCGGCACACAGGTTATGGTGCCAGGCAGCGTACCAAGAACTTTGAATGGATTATCTCATTGAATCCTCACAGAAGTGAGGTGGATGCTGTTTCTCCTACATCCTTTACAGATAAGGAAACTGAAGTTCAGAGAGGTAGAGTGCCTTACCCAAGGTCACACAACCAGTAAGAGGTAGTGCCAGGTTAACTCCAGGAATTCTGACACCAGGTGCTCCCACTTGCAGACTTTTCTCCCTTGTCTGACCATTGTGAACATCAACTGCACGGGGCTGGGGCTGCAACTAGGGCTGAGAAGGTAGCAATGCTCAAGCCAGATCTGTCTTGAACTGCTGAGAAGTTGTTTTTAAATGCTTTCTCTTGCCAAAGCCCTGACATACACATAGGAAGAGAATTCCGTTAGACTACCCAGCAGGTAGGTTTTGAATAAACAAAGATTTTAAGATCAACAAACCCAAACCAGTTACCAGCTTGCACACTTTTCCCTGGTCACTCAGTTCCTCCTCTCCCCTCAAACCTTCACCCTGTGGCATTGGGATGCTTGTAGGGCTAAATTTAAATTTGTCCTTATGGTGAGCAGGCAGTTATATCATTCATTTACTCATCCATCCATCCATCCATTCATTTGTTCCAAAAACATTTATTAGTTTCTACTGTCTGCCTGCTATAGGGATACAGAGTTGAAGGAAATATACTGCCTGCTAGGATTCATTTGTTCAAATAATCACCAGGAGCACCTTTAATGTGCTGTCCCCTGTATTTAGGTCCTGGGCACACAGTGGTGAACAAGGCCCAGCTCTCCCACTTCCTGGAGCCTGCTATAGGGATACAGAGTTGAAGGAAATATACTGCCTGCTAGGATTCATTTGTTCAAACTAATCACCAGGAGCACCTTTAATGTGCTGTCCCCTGTATTTAGGTCCTGGGCACACAGTGGTGAACAAGGCCCAGCTCTCCCACTTCCTGGATGGATGACCTTGGGCAAGTTCCCTGAACCTCTCCAAGCCTCAGTTTCCACTTCTGTAAAATGAGGTGGGGGTGGGGAGCAACAATAGCACGTACCCCAAAGGGTTGTAATGAGAATAAGCTAATATAATTTATGCAAAGTCCTGAGAACAGTGCCTGGCATGTAGTAAGTGGTCCGTAGATCTGAGCTGCTGTTATTTCTTTCCTGCCTTCATGGAACAGTGTGATAACACTATCCTAGGGACCACAGGGAGGATAGCTAGGGGGTGACCAGGATAGCTACTGGGTGGCCAGGAGAAGCCAGGGAAGGCTTTACCTAGGCAGGAACATTTGAGCTATGCTTAAAGGGTAAATCAAGGTGCAGTCACGGGAGGAGGCATTCTAGGCAGTGGGAAGGGCAGGTGCAAGGGCATGAAGGAGCATAGCATTTGGGGAAAGGCAAGTGGTCGGTGAAACCAGATGTCACGTGCATGGAGGAGGAGCAGGGGGAGAAGAGGCTGGAAAGGAGGCTGGGCCAGAGTTTGAAGGGCCTCCAGTGTCAGCTACAAAGTTCAGACTTTATCCCAGACCTGGAAACAGTGAAGAATTACTTAAAATTTTTAAGTAGGGGCATGATGTCATCAAATATGTGTTCCTACGTTTTAGAAAGATCACTCTAGCAACATGTATGGAGTGTGGACTGGAAAAAAAAAATTCCTTCCCATCCCCGTGCCTCCCTCCTTCCTCCTTTCCTTCCTTCAGTAAATATTTGTTGAACACCCACAATGTGTGAAGTACTGTGCCAGGCATCGTGAATCCACGCTGAAGAAGTCAGAGAGCATCCTTGGGCTTGGGAGCCCACATGCCATTGGGAGAGACAGAAAGAGAAGGCAAGGGGACTAGCTTCAAGGCTGATGCCCCGGCCGGGTGGGGCTGGAGTGCCAGGAGGAGATTACAGGCGAGGGGTCAGGGTTAAGGATGCCTGGAGGGAGGAAAGTACAGGATTTGGTCACTGGTAGAGTGTTCAGGTGACAGGAGGAAAGACGGACTGGTGACACTGTTTATGAACCAGCAGTTCTTAAAGTGTGGTCCTGAACACCTATCAAAGAGGCAAATCCTGGAGCTCCCTCCAGACCTCTTCACTCAGAAACTCTAGGATAGGGCCCAGCAGTCTGTGTTTTCACAGGCCCTCCAGGTGATGCCCCTCAGTTTGAGAGCCACTGGCATAAATAGAGAGCATTGGAGGGGCATTGGAGGAAAGTGCTCTTTAGTGGCAGGTGTGTGTTGGGGACAGAGGAGACAGTGAATTCCATTTGGGATCCGATGAGTCTGAGATGCCTGTGAGACACCCAGGGAAAATGTCTAGGAGATCATTGGTTTAAAAGGTCTAAAGTTCAAGAAAGATCTGGGCTATGGGTAAAGGGATAGAGGATTTTGGCCTTATTGAGACAGCAGAAGCCCTTGAGTGGCTAAGGTGGCACGGAGCGAGGGTGGTGAGTAAGAAATAGCACCTACATATGGAGGAGAAGAGAGCCCCTCGGACGGGAGCGCCGCCGCGCTTCCCAAGCGGCGCACTATCCAGTGCGCCACCGGGCCGGCCCAGGAGATCATTGGTTTTAAAGGTCTAAAGTTCAAGAAAGATCTGGGCTATGGGTAAAGGGATAGAGGATTTTGGCCTTATTGAGACAGCAGAAGCCCTTGAGTGGCTAAGGTGGCACGGAGCGAGGGTGGTGAGTAAGAAATAGCACCTACATATGGAGGAGGAGAGAGGGTGGGTTTGCCTTGGCCAGGAAGAGAAACCGCTCCTCCTGGAGGCAGGAGAGGGAACTGACTAAAGATACAGGAGAGGGAAGCAGGAGCAGATGGCACTTTGTTTCCATTAGTGGCCTGTGTTTTCAGTGTGAAGGTGGAGGTAAGGCTTTGCCTGGGGAAAGAGGGGAAGAGGGAGCAGGGAGAGACTAAGAGGCTTTAGGGGAGAAGGCCCAGAGTGACTGTAGTGTTCAAATGGGCTAGTGGCCTGCTGCTGGGCCACATTCTGGAACTCCAGGTATATCTGAGAAGGTGCCTTGTGATAGAGTACCAAGTAACCAGGTCACTGACAGCTTCATCTGGAGGCAGTGGGGAAGGTAGGGGAAAGGGTGTCTGTCCTCACCCGTCCCTTGGCAGGCAGAGGTCCAGATCTAGTGCCATGCACAGACCAGGACCAAGGTTCAATCCACCGAGGATCTTCAGAGTGGAGACAGTTCTGGGCCCCTGGACAGACAAGGCTGAGCCCTGAGATGGTACAGAAAATGGGAGATAGAAGCAGGTAGCAGGCTTCTGGCCATATGTGGGGCAGTAAGTCTGGGGACAACTCCAGGAAGATCTGGCAGAAGATCTAGAATCCAAGGTAGGACCAGGAGAGCTGGCAGAAAAGTAAGCATTCTTATGGCAGAGGGGTGGTGCAAGAGGGTGTGGGACTCAGACTCTGACCGACATGGAGTTAAACTCTGGCTCTATCTCTAGTTTGCTGGGGGACTTGAACTTAGCATTCTCCTGCCTTCCAGTTTCTCACCTGTAAAACAAGAATATTAAAAGTGATTTCCTACAGTTATAAGGATTAAGTGAGATAATGCATGTAACATCCTTAGTAGATTGCCCAGCACATAACAAATACTCAAAAAACAATAGCTGTTATTGTATTTTTAATAGCCAGCCTGTGCTCCTATATTTATCTTAGAAATTCTGGTTTTCAAAGCCCCTTCTCCTCCTCTAGCCTCATAAGGTCGCTGTGGGAGTGGAGCAGGGGTCCCTTTTTACAGATGAATCCATGAGGCCCATAGAGAGGAAATGGCTCTGCCCCAAGTCACGTGGCTCAAGCATAGCAGGACCAGGATGAGAACCTGAATGTCTCAATCCTCTGTTAGTGCTTCCAGAGAGCAATACCAGGTCTTGTTCACCACAGTGTCCCTAGTGCCAGGCTCTCAGTAAATGTTTGTTGAGTGAGTGAGTGTGCGAGTGAGCGAGTGTGCATGTGTATGAGCGAGGGAGCGAGCGCTGAATGAGAGACTGGACTGAAAGATGCTACCAGTTCTCTGCTTCTAAATGTCACTCCTCAACCCTGTGGCCATGAGAGCTATGTGGCCACATGCTCCAGCCATCCTGGGGGCCTGCCCACCTGAGACCTGGCCATCTGAGCACTATTGTTTCCCCAGGAGAACAGTCTCAAGTCCGGGAAGGGGGCAGCTGCCATGATCCCAGGCCCACAGACGGTGGCCACGGAAATCCGTTCTCTTTCTCCGGTAAGTGGGCAGCTCAGGCTAGGGGACTCCGAGCTGAGAATGTGGGCATGGGCCCACAGGTGGCCTGCAGCAAGTGCAGCACTGAGCCCAGCCCTTTTAAGTGCAGAGCCAGGAAACTGGATCATTTTCAGGTGCCCACAGGAGCACAGTCTCGTCAGTTGCCATCCCTCTCCCCCACCCATGCACACATGAGCAGGACATTGGCAGTGTGGGGATACAGTAGCCCTCACCTTGGTGGTGGTGCCTGTGGTGGTTCTTCTGCATCTGCCCTCATTACTGACCAGCAAGAGCAATGGCCTGGGAGACCAGAGGCTCGGAGTCTGGACCTGACTGTCGGTGGCTGCCCCATGACCCTGAGTCTGCAAGGCCTCTTCTAGCTCTTGTGTTCTTCAAGTGTGTAGTTCTCATGTCTGGCACCAGAGAGAGTGTGTTCCTGGCTATGATAGGATGGGAGATCAGGAGGGCTCCATCTCCACTTTGGAGCCCTCTGTTCATTCTTCTAAGACTTCAGAATTTTTAAATTCTAGGGAGTTAGAGTTCAAGGCCTCAGGAATCTCAGGGTCTAGGAATCTTAGATTTCAGGATTTGAGAATTTTATGGGTCTAGGATTCTGAAGATTCCAGTATTCTCAAATTCTTAATGGTTCAAAGCATCTTGGCTTCCAAACTTCACCTTCACAGGCCCCTGCTCATCCCTTGGTTTTCCCCATCCTGCCCCCATCCCTGCAGAGCCTAGCGTCCTTACCTGACACCCGGGGTGGGGGGTGGTTATATTCTGCAGATCATCGGGAAAGATGTCCTCACCAGCACCTACGGCGCCACCGCGGAAACCCTCTCAACCTCTACCACCACCCATGTTACCAAAGTGAGTAGCAGCAGGGTGCCCCATGCCCCCGCCGGGCTGCAGGCGGGAAGGTCATTACTGTTGCTCTGCTTTGGCTTCTCAGTCTGTAAAGTGGACAAAGAAGACCTGTAGTGTTACCAGTTTCTGGAGTGCTATGCACTTTGTCCTGTGCTACATGTTGTCCATGATGGGCCCTGTTCGTGAAACACGGACAGCCAGGCCGGAGGAACGAGACATTCTTCTTTGGAGTGATTGTGAACCATAGTGTTTGTGCCTTATAGACCTTAAGTGCTGGAGGAATTTAGAGGGGCTGATGTATGGGAGGCTTCACGAGTCAGGAAACAGAAGGGAGCGGAAACTGTGTGTGCTTGCTTGCTTGTTTGTTGAAAAAATGTTAGTGAGCATCAGCCTTACTTTGGTCTCTGTGCCAGGGCTGCTGGAGGTCCGTTTGTGGAAAATAGGATGCGCAGAATGTAGAGGATGTAACTGGGAAATTAGGTTGGACTGGGGGCAGGGGAAGCAGAATATAGAAACAAATAAGACAGATACCAGGACATATTTGACTATGGAGGATCTGAGTCCAAAGGAAATTGGAAAGCCATGAAGGATTTTAAATTGGGGAGTGACCCAGAGAAAATAGGCTTAAGGAGAGGATATAAGGTCCACCAGGATGTGCAGATAGTAGATGAGACAAAAAGGAGGGAGAATTATGGAGAGAGACTGATAATAACTCAGGCCTAGGGGCAGAGAGCCGGGACAAGGGTGGGAGTTGGAGCGGGAGAGGGAGGAGGAAGGCCCAAAGGAGGGAGGCATTCCTGGGTGTGTCAGCGTGACTCAGCCAATGAGGACAGAGGATTGGGAGGCAGGCGTGGAGGAGCCAGGTTGAGCCAAGTTGAGTTGGAGGTTCTGATGAGCCATCAGAGGAGAAGTCTGGTCAGTAGCGCTGGCCCTGTGTGCACGCAGACTCTGTCCCAGCCCTGCCCACTCCCGTGCAGGACTCGGCGCTTCTTCATGCTCTCCAGAAAGAACCCACTCTCACCAAAGGCATTAGTGAGCAATGTTGACCTCTCTGAAAACTTTATGGGAAGGTTTTACATCACATGCCCCACGGCATACAGCTCAGAAAACTCTTCTTCCCAAAGCCCCTCTCAGCCCTGCCAACTGGGAGCCCCTTCTTATTTATGTCCTCTCCTCACTCCAGCTGGGATTGTCCTCAGCTGCCACCTTCCTTTCATATGCCAAATCAGGTCCTGCCCCATCTTCTACTTATAAACTTGCACACAACCCCACTCCGCCTTCAGAAAACAGTGGAGGTAATAAGTATCATTTCTCTTGTAGTATTGTTCGAAGTCATTTAAGGTAGAACCTTGTCACCATTCACATTTCATTCATGTGTTCATTCAGCAAATCTGCATTCAGCACTGCCGTGGTCAGACCAGGCAAGAGAGTGGGGGAGGAGGGGATACAGAGTTGAACAAAATACAGGCCCTGACCTCAAGAGTGCATAGCCTGGTGAGGTGAGCAAGGACATGTAAACACATAAGGTCAGCACCAGGCAGAGAGTCCCAGAACCATGAGAGGTGCAGACGTGGTACTGGGGGGGAGGTGGGGAGGGTGTGCCGAGGCAGTAAGTGCTTGAGGCATTGCCAACCAGGGCCAGGGAGGCAGTACTGGAGCTGGGCTTGGAAGACCTAAATGGGGCAGTTTGGTAGTTGGGGGAGTGGTAGCAATCAGGCAAGATCTGCACTGTGAAATCCCAAAACTAGAAAAGGAAAAAATCAAGGAAGCTAGGAGAGAAAGTAACTGCTGATTCTCAGCCTTGCCCTTGAGAGATGCTTCGGGTAGGTCCCCTGTTGCAGCTGCTGCCCCAGCAGGCCCCAAGAGTGACCTCGCCACTCTCTCCCTCTGCAGACTGTGAAAGGAGGATTTTCTGAGACGAGAATCGAGAAGCGAATCATCATTACTGGGGATGAAGATGTCGATCAAGACCAGGTACAGGGATAGGGCACGTTATTCCCAGTGGCACTGCCCACTCCCCAATCCCTCCTATATTGGGTTACCCATGGATTGCTATCTTCATGGGCAGAGAAGGTGTCCCCTTTTTGCTGATGCTGTTCAGATAAGGAGCCCCCAGGGAAGGGGCATTGAATGGGAGCCAGAAGACCTGAGCTCTAGTTTCTCCCTTTTACTATTTGACTTTGCCCCTTCCTGGGCCTCAGTTTCCCCAGCTGTGCACTAAGGGGATTGTTGTTCTCCACAGTCTTTCCCATACTCGATATCCCATGGTTCCTCACTTTAGTGATCTTTCCCTCCAGGCCCTGGCTTTGGCCATCAAGGAGGCCAAACTGCAGCATCCTGACATGCTGGTAACCAAAGCTGTCGTATACAGAGAAACAGACCCATCCCCAGAGGAAAGGGACAAGAAGCCACAGGTAAGGCGTCTAAGGCTCAGCAACCATGAGAGGGAGGAGGAAGCCGTACCAAGAGCCTCTGAGTGTCATTTCTATCTGAGAACCCAAGTAGCTTGATCTCTAGTGCAGCTTTGACTACCTGCCTTCCTAGTTTGCAGCTCAAAGGAGAGAGGCAGTTCCCCCAGCTACAGTGAGTCGGGGGCGGGGGAGAGGAAGACTGTTTCCTTGGTTTCTTTGGGGTTTCAGGCCCCCGACCCAGAAGAGTAAATGCAGAAGTGATAAGAAAAGGGGAGAGAGGATTGATAGTGGGTACTGAGGTACACGATCTCATTGACCATTGCCTGTAGGCTGGAAGTCAGAAAAAGTGCTACCAGGCCCAGTGCCACATTTCTGTCCCTGAGTCTCTGTCTCCATCACAGGTTGCTGATGTTGCTAAGGGGACATGATGACCAGAGACCTTGATCTCATCTGTCTTGCTTGATTACAAATTCTTGACTTCTCAGGCCTTCAGATGCCAGAATCTTAAGGGCCCCAATATTTATTTGTTGGGCATCAGTGCCTTGGTGAATAAGATAAATGAGATGGTGTTGAGACAGACGGGACTTTTAGCAGCCTAGGTTGGGAGAGGGGTTCTTCTGGCCCCTTTGGAAATTTACCTAATTTTATCAGACCTATGAAATAAAATCCCATGGACATTGAGTTGAATGAAATAAGCCAGACACAAAAAGTACAAACTGTATGATTCCATTCATAGGAAGTCCAAAAACAGGCAAAATTAATCAATGATGATGAAAGTCAGAACAGTGTTACTTCTGGGATGTAGTATTGACAGGGAAGAGCCACAAGGGAACCCCGGGGTTCTGGAAACATCACTATCTTCTACAGCATGAGTTACATGGGTGTATACATATATAAAAATTTGTCAAGCTCTTATTTATACTTAGATTTGTGCAATTTACACATTTCACACATTATACCACATTGAGATAAAAAATACATCTCAAAGACCCCTCAAATAGCTGGTCCCCTTTTTTGCCCTTTTCCTTGAATGAATGAAACCAACGTTTTCTAGAAAGATAGAAGAATGTTTTTTTTCTCTTCGTTTGATTACCACTCCCTTAACATCAGGAGATAAAGCACCGAAACATTTTTCTGCCACTTTGGGGTGCCCTTTTCCTTGAATGAATGAAACCAACGTTTTCTAGAAAGATAGAAGAATGTTTTTTTTTCTCTTCGTTTGATTACCACTCCCTTAACATCAGGAGATAAAGCACCGAAACATTTTTCTGCCACTTTGGGTTTTTTTTTTCCTCTTTTTATTTATTTATTTGTTTTTATTTTAATCTGTTTTTTTCATTGGATATGTTTATGGGGTACAGTTTATTGTTTCAATACATGCATATATTGTATAATGATCTAATCAGAATAGTCAGCATATCTGTCACCTAAACATTTATCATTTCTTTGTGGTTATAACATTCAGGATCCTCTTTTCTGGCCATCTTGAAAAATACAATACAATGTTATTAGCTATTGTCAGCCTATGGCATCAGAACTTGTCCTTCCTGTCTAATGTAACTTTGTACCATTTTACCAACTTTTCCCTTCAGCCCTGCACACCCCGATTTACCCCCCCCCCTGCCTCTTTGAAAGGCTGCTAACCCCTGGTGTATACCAGTGCAGAACTTTCTGCAGCGATGGAAATATTCTTTCTGTACTATCCAATATGATAGCCACTAGCCACACATCAATAGCACTTGAAATTGGCTAATCTCAAATGAGGTGTACTTTAAGGGTAAAATGCATGTAGGATTTTGAAGATTTAATATGAAAAAAATATGTTGAGGTGTACGTTAAGGGTAAAATGCATGTAGGATTTTGAAGATTTAATATGAAAATTATCTCAATAATTTTTATATTGGTTACATGTTGAAATGATCATGGATATTGGGTTAAGTAAAATATATTATTAAAATCAATTTCACCTTTTAATTTTTATTGCTTTTAGTGTAAAACGACACTGAGGGTTGTGATCCGTTGCCGGTCACAAAAAAAGACAAAAAGGAAAAAAAAAAATTTTTTTTTACTTATGAGGGTTGCGATCCGTTGCCGGTCACAAAAAAAGACAAAAAGGAAAAAAAAAATTTTTTTTACTTTACTAGAAAGTTTTAGAAAAACAGATCTAGAAAATTTAGGAAATATTATCTAGAAAATCTATTATCTAGGAAAATTTTTAATTCCATATGTGGCTCAAGTTCTATTTCTATTGGACAGTGCTGTCCTAGAAGAAGTGTAAGTCAGCCACGAGCAGAGCCTACCTCCCAGCCTTCCTCAGACTTTCATACAAGAGATTATCAATCCTGTCCCCTCAGGTGTCCAGTTTCTTTTGCTTTTTCTCCCCCAAATCTCACAGTGGTAGAGTGTAGGTTCCTTGCCAAGCTGGTGCTGAACTGGGTGTATCACCTCAGGGAGATTGTTTAACAGACAGGTACTAGAGAACTCCCACCTTGAAGTCTGATTTAGAAAGGCTGGCAGGGACCTGGAGTCTGTATTGCCTGGCAATCTTTATTTATACCTTGGTTCCCAGGGAGTCCCCGTGCAGCTAGGTGTAAGAGCCACTGATGCAAAGAGCTCTGTACTGGAATTCAGGGACTTGGCTCTACAGCCATTCCACTGACTGGTGTGTGATCCGGGCTTAGTTTCTTCCCTCATTGGGACTCAGTTTCCTCATTTGCAAAATGAAGAGCTGGAGCAAGCCACCTTCCAGTTAGAGTCCTCTGGCTATTTGCTTTCCTGGGTGTCTGTTGTATGTTTCTCATCTTTTCTCCATTCTCTACCTCCCTCCTCCTCATCCTTTCCAGGACAGTCACAGCCAGGCCTCTGGGCTCCTGCCTTCCCATTTTCCCACCATGCAGTGCTCTCATCCCCACTCCCAGTCCTGTCTCCCCCACTGCCATACAGCCTTTTGCATCTGCCCACCTCACTGCTCCCTTTACTGTCTCATTCCCTCCTCCTCACCTCTCTTTAGTTCTTTCTTTGATGCCATTGCCCCACACACCACCATGCCCCCTCTTTCTCTTCTGGATTATTCTGTAAAGGTCACATTGTTTATGTTGCCTGGGAGAGTCAGAAGTTTCTCTCCCTTGCTTTTTCCACCCACACGCTTTACCCCTAGTTATCGCCAAGTAGGAGCCCCCTCTGACTCTTAGTATAGTCAGACTCACTAATTCCATGGAAAGGTCGCCTCTGAATTAGAACATTCCTTTTTAAAGTGCTTAAAAAACATTGGCTTAGTGGATGGATGCATCTTGGTACCCCAAGGATGAGTGTACAGTCCTGCAGACCTACACTTGAATCTCAAGCCTTGCCCTTTATTAGCCATGTGACCTTAAGCAAGTTGTTTAACCTTCTCAGCCTGTGTTTCCTCATTAGCCAAATGGCAATGATAATCATAGTAATAATAATTGCCTTAATTTATGGAGCACTTATGCTACGCCAGGCAACAGTCTATGCACTCTCCATAAGTACTGTTATCTGCTCATTCATTTTACAGATGAGGAAACTGAGACTTAGAATCCTTAAGTGGCTTGCTAACAGTTGTAGAGCTGGGAACATGATGGATTAATTAGAGTCAAAGCTACTCTGTTAGACTCCAAAGCCACCATATGGTCTTAACCTCCTCACCACACTGACTTTTCATAGCATCTATCTGCTAGGGTTACAGAGAACATACATATATGGAAGTTAGCACAGTGCCTGGCACATAATAAATACTCAGTAAAAGTTTATTATGACTGTTATTACTATTACCTAATACTGCACATAGGGACTCTGCTGTAATAAACTGAGAAGAATAAATTGTAATACAGTATTGTTTAGATGTCCCTGGTGCTTCTGAAGTGTCTATGGGCTTTGAAGACATCCCACATACCCAGAATCATGACTGCACTTGACTTGTAGGGCAGCTACTTTATTAATCAATGAGCAAACTTAAAGTGCATCCTGCCACTGTAAATAAAAAACAAATCCCCAGTGAGGAGATAGCAGAATTGGGCTGGCTGGTTAGCTCAGTTGGTTAGAGTGCAGCCTTGAAACACCAAGGTCACAAGTTCAGATCCCATACCAGCCAGCCGCCCCCAAAAACAGGATATAGCAGAATTGCATAGAAAGAATAAACCCAGGCTTTGGAGCTAAAACCACCTTGGTAGCTGCGTGCCCATAGGAACCTCTCTCTGGACCTCAGTTTCCTCATCTGTAAAATGGAGTTAATCTATAAATTGGAGCTGCTGTAAAAATTAAACAACATCTATGATGTACTGGATTGGTATCTCGTGTACAGAAGGTGCTCAGCAAGGTGAACCTGCTTCCTTGTCCCTCTGAGGTTTTGTCATGTCTAGGGGTTGATGCAAGCCCAGAGTATGTCAGACCATAAACTCACCACCAGCCTGGTGCATGAGGCCCTGTTTCCACACAGGTGTCCATCCTGCTGTTCTTCATCTTCTCTTTCTTCTCTGAATCTTCCAGAAACATCTGTCCCTGCTCCTGTTGACTCTTGGCCTTTCTTCTTAAAGTTCTTCCTTCTGGAAGTTTTTGCTGTGAGTGGGGAAAGCATGCCCATCTCACACAAAGCCATTCCTTTTCTCTCCCCACAACCTCACAGGCCAGACGTGTGGTTTCTGCTCCATCTTCTCCCCTAGGCCTACCTCCAGGGAGGAGCTGCCTCCCAAACACCACCAGCAAGAGGGTGGCACTCACCCACCTTCCTAGAGCTTCCTTACTTTCAAAAATTTAATTAAATGGGAAAAAAATTGACCTATTCCAGAGCAAGAACGTTGGGTTGTAGTCTTGGTTCTGCCACTAACTTGCTAAGTCACTGATCCCTTTGAGCCTCAGTTTTCCCATCTGTCAAATGAACCAAGAAGAATCCCTTTTCTACGACTCCATTAGCATGTGACTATCTGTGAGTAGTATAAGGCAGGAATGATGTTCCATCTGTTAAATGGTTTTGAGTAGTTGCTATATGCCAGGCACAGTGTTGGGTACTGGAAAGGCAACAATAGGTAAAAGACAGCCATTGCCCTCAAGGAGATCAGAACAGTGTGTGGTTAAATGAACAGCAACACCAGTAATAATGACAGCTGGTATTTGTTCAGGACTTACTCTGTGCTGGACCCTTGCTTTGACTCCTCCCTATAACTGCGTGAGGCAGGACTCATTTTACAGAGCAAGCCACTAAGGCTTCAAGAAGGTAAGAAACTCGACCAAGATTATAGAGCTAACAGGCCATGGAATGAGATTTGAACCCAGAGTCTGATTTCATAGCCCACCCCCTTGGACACTGAGTTATAGAGTCAAACCTTGAGTTGGAATCTAGGCTTCAACTTAAACACTGCTGTCTGGAGTCTAATCTCCAGAACACAGCAGGTGTGTGGAGAACAAAAAGGAAAAACAAATGAAAAAAGAACATCTGCCACCATGACTAAACATTTCTTAGAACTGAGAAAAGATAGAAAGAAAAAGTGAAATGATTATGATCACAACTTCTCAGTGTTAAAGGACATTTTAGCAAAATTTCTGGCCAAAGTAAAAGATACCAAGTCCCTGGAAACAAACAAGCAAACACACATGATCTGGGGTCACACACATGTGGGTTCTCAGCTGCCACACATAAGCTGTGTGGCCTTAGACAAGTCACTCTGTCTTCCTGGCCACAATAAAGGGCATGTGGTAAAGGGTAGCTAAAACAACCTCTTGCTGTGAATTTAAAGATGAGTGACAAAAGGTACTAACTTTTCTTGTCCCCCTCCTTCCTTTGCACCCCCTTCTCCCCATGCCTCTGGCTCCCAGGAATCCTGACCTCCGTGAAGAGATGCTGGCATTTCTGGTCCAACCCAAGCCAGAGAACCGTTAAGAAGGGGCCTTCATTCTGGATTCTCCGACATAACACCGACGTCCCAGCTGCGACGTACTGTCACTGATGAGAGACTGGGAAGGGAAAAGCATATATATATATAGATATATATAGATATAGATATATATACAGGAAACACCGCGTCCTTGCACTGCTGCTGGGGCTGGCAGAGCTGTCAGCCGACAGCAACAACCAACATCTGAACACCTACATTTCCTTTGCAGACAACTAGAAGAATTGGTGGGATTTTTCAGGAAAAAAATATTATAACGACCATGATCCCCCTCCTCTGCCAAACAACAAAAGCAAGCCAGACCACGATGATTGTAGAAGCATCATACGACCCCGGTTCTGCGCATCACAGTTAGTGGACGAACTTTCCATTTGTTCTTCTCCAGCGTCTGTTGCCCACTTGAATGCAAAGGAAAACACTCATGCAGCAAAGCAAGAGAAGTTGCAGCAGCAAGACACGCACAGTCAACCATTTTCCAAGAAAGAAAGAAAATTCCCCACTTGGAAAGGAGGAGGGGGAACACTGGATTATTATTTTCTGGGTCGTGACACTGGGCTGCAGAATCCACCTTCCTTTCCTCTGCCTCTGCTCCCCCTCGCCTCTCACATGTCTTGTGTCATCTTCTGTCTCGGTTCCCTTTCCCTCTCCCCCTGCCCTCCACCCCTGACCCTCTGTGTCCTGGTCCTATTGAGGGCCACTGCAGATGACTCATTTGAAAGGAGAAAAGGAATAGGAAAGAAAGCAAGAACAGAAAACTAAGCCACAGGAAGAGAAGTAGACATTGTATGTTTATGGTTTCTCATGAAGGTGCAGCTTGTAGGAGATTTGTATGGATGTGCTTTTAAGTTATGTATATTATATATAACAGGAAACAAATATTAAAAATAAACAGTGCTGGTAAGTATGAAGCTGACATTTTAAAATTATAATTATCTGACTGTGATCAGTGTATCCCAGCATTCCTGGGTCTCACTGAACTGACCCAGCTAAGGAGGTCTGGGCCCTGGGTGTGGGTTGGCTCACAGCAGGGGCCGACGTGTTCGGTATAGTAATACTATGTGTGGTGTTTGTAATTGGTCGATTGGTGGGGAGGAGTGGGGACTGCAAATGGAGAGCTGGAGGTTTGGCAAGAAGGAAGAAACACAGATGTTGTCTGGACGTGTCGGTCCAAGATGCCCTCTCCCCGCTGGGCAATAGCAGTCAGGGCCTGGTCTGTGCTCAGGCTTGGGGTCCAGAGTTAGGACCCTGCTGCTGCGGTCCCCTGGCTCAGTCCTCCTACCTCCCTAGAGGGCTTGCCTTGGTTTTCAGTCTTCTCTTTATTTTATTTTATTTCACCGTGTCTTTCCCTATCACATGGTAATATTTAACTCCATATCGAAAGGGAGGTGGTCCCCTTGGCTGCAGTGGAAGATGGTGGCTTTAACCTAGCTATCTGAAAATTCCCAGCTCAGTCTTTTCCTGTACCCCCTTCCATATTCTGAATCATTCTCTTCTTCCTGGGCCAAAGTAGCCATGGTAAAGAGGCCATGAACACAGGGCAGGCTCTGATAGGTCAAGAGCACATTTCCAAAGGCCTTGCCTGCCCCAGAGCAAGCTGGGCGATGCTGCCCAAAGGCACCCTCTCTGTATGAGACCCTGGAGTCCTCCCCTTCGGTCTGCATCTGAGCTCTGAGCCTGTTCCCTCGTAGTCCCAGAAGTTGCCTCAAGACCACAGGAGTCCTTAGAGAAGACCCTGTCGTAAGCTATGTGTTGTCCTCTCACCCATGTGCCTGCCACAAGCTACTTCCCTGAGCTCAGCAAGTATCCCTTCGTGAGGGAATATGTCCCACTGCACTTTAATTTCCCAGTCCCATTTCATGTCCCAGTCCTGCTTCTAAAACAGTCAATAAATTCATTCAACAGATATTTATTGAGTACCTGCTTGTGCTAGGTGCTATTCTTGGGCCAAAGGAGAAAGGCGGGGGGGGGGGGTGCTGGGAAGCCATCTGAGCCAGCCTTGCATCTCCAACCAGGGCTGGCCCATCTGAGAGCACTTCCCCACTCTCCAACCCGTTGGGCATTGCCCAGGGATGCCCTCCCCTCAAGATGACCCAGGCTAGAGGCATCCCCTTGGCTTGCTCGTCAGTTACCCTGACCACATACACCTTAGCTGAGAGCAGCGTTTGCCTCTGTAGGCAAATGGGAGATTGAGTGGATCTCTCAGACAGGAGAGTCAGACCGCTTCTCTGACTCAGTCACTGACTCTCCGAGTCCAGCAGCACGCTTTCCGTGCACCAGGTTCTTTTCACACCCTGGTGGAGAAGCCACACTTTCCCTTTCATTCTACCAAGCAACTCACTCCAGGTCACCTTTCTTCCTGCCCTTGTCCACTTGAGAGCTCACATTCCTGGGCCAAGAGCTGGAGTGGGGGTGGCCAAGAGTTGGAATGTGGCTCAAGTGTCCCTGTCTATGTGGGAACCAGGTGTCCTGAGCACACTGGACACACCTCAAAGGGAGGAGCTTTGTTCTGGGTCTTGCACCTGCCTACAGACCCTGGGCGTGTGGCTTCAGGGCAGGAATTGATATGTCTGGACTTAGCTTGTGGGCCACCAGGGTTTGGGGAGATCTCCACCCCACGGATGCTCGGACGGTCTTTCCACAGAGAGGCAGGCAGTGCCACCAGGGAGGAGGGGACCTGCAAAGCTAAAATCTAGGGCACTGTTTCCTCCCCATCCTCCTCTTCCTAGAGAATAGAGATGTTTGTCTTGTCTGTCTTCAACCTACTTTTTTCTTTTTTATGTTTCTCATCCTCTCTGTGCTGCCTCCACCCAGGAAGCCATGTAGCCTAGTGGGAAAAGTCCCAGAGAGCAGTCAGAAGTTCTGGGTGACCATCCTGACTCAGCCCCCTAACTCACCATGTGACATCAGGCTAGTCCCATTCCCAAAAGGGCCTCAGTTTCTCACTTGCAAAATGAGCAGGGCAAACCAGATGCTCTCCAGGGCCTTTTTCCACTCTGCCATTTTATAGATCTTTGTTTTCTCTTATTTTGCTTTCTTTGGATCTTTTCCGTTTGAGGGTACAGGAAGTGTTAGGACCTGTTTCAGTTTTTGAATCCTGCAAGCACATTCCAAGACTGGCCTGAAATTGCATGAGTAACATCACTCTAAATAATTTTTTTTTTCAAAAGCACCTTACCAACCAACTGCGATGCTGTCCTGTTCCTTTTTACTCATACCCCTCTCCTCTCTCGTCCCCATGCTCCCCCACCTCAGTGCTCTGTGCTGTATGCGTGTGCTCTCTGTTCTTGTATACTCAATAAAAGTGAAATAAATGTGTTTGATGCTGAACCACACACTTCCTTGGCCTCTCTCTCTCTCTCTCTGACCTTGTACATTAAAAGTGAAATAAATGTGTTTGATGCTGAACCACACACTTCCTTGGCCTCTCTCTCTCTCTGACCTTGTACATGTTGGCACTGTGGGAACAGCTAAAACTGGAGTGGAGACATCCAACTTAGAACTCTTTTATTCAACAACTATTGGGAGCTCCCAGTGTGGCCCAGGTCTTGGGGTAGGCTCTTTAGGTACAACAACAAACAGGACAAAGTCCCTGCCCTCCAGGAACTCACAGGCTAGTGGAGGAAACAGACAACAAAACAGGCAACCAGTCAAAGAGAATTACAGAGATCAGCACCAGGATGGAAATACACAGGGGGAGGGGACAGAGGGTCATTAAAGGAGACCATTTTAAATAACGTGACTAGTTAGGGCCTCCCTGAGATGTTGATTTTTGAGGTGAATGAAGATAAAGATCAAGTAAGGTGAGATCAAGGCCTTGGGTGAGAGCATTCTAGGTACAGGGGACAGTAACCCCGCGGGCCCCAAGACAAGGAGGGGCTCCTCTTCCTGGAAGTAGAGCACCTACATTGGGGTCTCTCTTCCTGCAACTACCCTACATGGGAGCCTAGTGGGTAATGTATACAGCAATCCCCAACTTCAGCCTTTGCCTATGACCTTCATCTATGTTGCCATATCCTCAAACCACCTGTCCTGTTATTGACTTGTTTTTCTTTAAATTGACTCACTTGGAAAAAAAAATTTAAAAAGGAAACTATGTTATCCTCACAAATAGAAAACTAGTGTCAATGCCAAAAATAGAAGGCCTTCATAAGAACAAATGCAAAAATATTAAAAACTGCAATCCGTGTAAAACCTAAATTCATCCCTTGGACCACCTGAGGTGCACATATCACACTTTCCTTTTTATTCTACCAGGCAACTCACCACAGGCCAGCTTTCTTTATTGCTCCAAATCTCACAAGCAAGTCTTTTTTCCATGTATATATATTTTTTCAGAGTTGAAATCATCTCGTACATACCATACTAAATACTTTTCTAAACTTATATCCTGAGTATTTCCCTTTAACTTCAAATACTGAATACTATTTCTTTTCTTTGAAAAGGTAATTCATTAAATGAAACAAAAGGTCATGTGGAGAAAATTAATTCATCAGTCCTCTCCAGATTCCTGTCCATTGTCAGAAGCAATTACTGTGAGGAGCTTCGTGAATCCTTCCTTCTCTATTTTCCTTGTAGGCTTCCTTTAGCAATCTTTGACTCCTGGGGTTCTGGAATAGGATTTGGTTTGCAAACACTGGGTCTCTACATAATACCTCAAGGCCCCACATACCGTGGATCTGTGTCTCTGTCTCCCATACATACAGGGCCAGCCTCTCTGCTTCTTGGGGATAATCTCAGGCTGGTTCACCTACATCAGTATTACTCAACTGGGATGGGGTGGGAGGCTATTCTGCCTCTCCCCCAGGGAACATTAGCCATGTCTGGAGACATTCCTTGTTGTCACAACTGAGAGGTGCTACTGGCTCCTGGTGGGTAGAGGCCAGAAATGATGCTAAACATCCTACAATGCACAGGACAGCCACCTACAACAAAGAATTATCTGGCCCCAAATGTCAATAGTGCCAAGGTTGAGAGACTCTGATCTGGATGGACATGCAACCCACAGGGTGGGATTCCCAGGCCACCATCTATAGCCTCAATGTCTCACATTCAGTGCCCTGGAATCTCAGAAAATGGTGAATCCACCTGGAACGGGGAGCTCTGAAACCAGACCACGGAGCTCAGTGCCTAAGACTAGGAGTGGGGAGGGGTAGAGAGGGAGCTGAGCTACTTCATGCAGGAAATAGAACTGACAGGACAGGCTGAGATGGATATGCATGACTGTGACTGATGGAGGCTGTCTTTGGTTAATCTTGCAGCGGCTTATCATGATTAACCATGACTGCAGGGCCTGGCCTAGTCTGCAACCCACTAAGAGATGAATTTTGACTGAGACAGATTGGCGTGTCCAGCTGTCACTGAGGAAGTATGACAGACAAGCTAAGGAGCGGCAGCACAGAGACAAAAACAGCCAGTCAGACTTTGCTTTGCATGCTAGCTCTGCCACTCTAGCTGTGTGGCACTTCTCTGAACCTCAGTTTACTCTTCTGTAAATTGGGAATACTAATACCTACTTACTAGGGCTAGTGTAAGGATTAGAAATAATATCCAAGTGGCCTGCCCTACAGATTTTGGTCTTGACTAGCCAATCCTCACAATCACATAGGTCAATTCCTTGCAATAAATCACTTGATATATGTTAGGTTTGGCAAGATGGGGAAAAGGGAGAGAAACCCTAGCCAGGTGCTATTTCATCCAAGCAGCTTTATTCCACAAGCGTGGAGGGGAGACTGAATCAGATCAGTTCCCCTGAACAAAGGAAAGCAGGAGGTTTATAAGATTTTGAGGGTTCTGGCAGAGTAATGTGCAATTTCGAAATCAGTGGTGCTAGGTGACACAGCCCTTGTGGTCAGCTAACATTTGGTTGGTTAGGGCATAGGCTCCTGATTCGTGTTGCCACTATATCAGTACAAAGCATTCCTCCCAGCCCAGCCCAAATGCCTGCTACCACAGCCCACAAGATGTCCCTCTGATAACGGTCATGTTTGCCCCTTCCCAGGAGAGTAATTTTGCTGACCAGTTCCTAGAGCAGAAAAGGAAAAGGGGAGGGGGAGTAGGATGGAAAATTGCTTAACATGGCTATGCTAATGTTAAGCCAGCCATGAAGCCTAATAACATACATCTCCTACTGGCTGTGCTTCTTTGGTGGAACTCTTACTGATTACAACTACCTAGCACAGGGCTAGGCCCACAAATAGAAGCCATGTATTAGTACCAAACTACTGTTGTTATTAATTAAATGTATAATATTTGTACTGAGCTGAGCCTTTATGCCTAACTTTGTGCTAGGTTCCAGGGTAACAGTGCAGAACAAGCCAGGCAGGTTCCTTCCTTCTGTGTGTACTTATAGCCTGAATGAGATATCAGACTAAGTCTGCAGGACACTGGATGATTATGGCTGGAGGGACTGATGGGGTGACTATGCTGTTGCTGGGACTGGTTCTCTCTGGGCTGGAGGTTGGGTTTCTGAGGCTCTCCCCTAAGGCTGAGTGTGACTGAAAACTGGGACTGGGTGATAATAGGGTAGCTGTGATACTGTGATTCGGATAGAGAGATTGGTTGACCAGGACCTGACTGAGCTTCTGCCTGTGGCTACTGGGTAGCATGACCCTGACCATGCTTCAGTGACCATGACTGCTTGAGGCCAAAGCACTATGGCAGGTGGATGTGATTCTGGCAGCGGATATAAAAATGCATAGTTTAGTGAAAGTCGTTATCCACAATTCAGGGGCTAAAACGAGAAAATTATAGTAGCAACAGACATCATATGATTGTGCAGAACCTTAAGGGGCGGAACGTTCTTCGGCGACTGAAGGCTCCGCCGGACCGCTTTCTCCGTCGCTCCTATCCGGCGCCAAAGCGGAGAGCTTCCGGTGCGCTGTCGCGGTACCCGACCGTGGAACGAATCGGTGAGTACGGCCTCCTGGCCTCTTTTTCCTCCTCTATTTTCGATGTATGTGGGGCCGGGCCACCGCCCTTCTCGGCTTGGAATCGCGGAGTGCCCTGATCTAGGCCCACCTCACCGGTGCGGCCGCGTCTCCGCCTGTGGGCCGGTGGTGGGACGCTGGTGTCTCTGGAGGACTTTCTCCCTGAGGAGCCGTCGCCAAAGACACCGTCGCCAAGACTTACCAGGGAACACGGAGTAACTTCGTTTTTTTTCTTAACTTTACAGCTTGGGGGCTGGAGACGTTGGCTGCACCTGATCTGGTTCTGCTCTGTTCTCTGCGTGACTTCGGGTAAGGTCTTTCCCCGAACCGAGCCTTCGTTTCTTGTCTACAAAATGGACATTGTGCTTTTATTAAGTAAATGTTTATTAAGTATCTAATATGTGCTAGGGATACAAAAGGACTCAAGTCTCCTGGAGGTGACACTCCTCAATCAAACATGCAGAATTGCAACCCTAATAACTGAAATGGGAAGGTACAGGGCACCGGGAGAGTGTATCACAGGAGACCTGACCTAGCCCCGAGTCAGGAAGCTTTACTGAGGAGGTGAATATTGAGCTGAGGTCAGAAAAACGATTCGACAGAGTGGGGAGGGAAGTTTTCTACTTGGGTAGAGCCTGTAATTTGAGGGTCTGAAAGAGACCAGTGTGACTGGAACAGAGAGCTTGGAGGGAGAGCATGGTATAAAACAAACTGGAGGGGTTGCCAGGGTCCAGACTTTGTAGATCATGGCAAGAATTTTTGTTTCCCAGGAGTCACATGGAAAGCTTCTAAAAGGGTGTTAAGTGTGGTTGGTGACATGATGAGACTGGCATCTTGAAAAGGTCTCTCTGGCTGTTGGGTGGAGAATGAATTGAGGGGCAAACATTCTCTGGGTGAGGGATGATGTAGCTTGGATTAGGCAGGTGGGTGGATGTGACTTTGCATTTCAGGACTGTGAGGAACTCACAGAGCTCTAAGTGAGACAGGTTGGTATGCTGCAGAGTTCTGTGCATGTTTAATAATAAACCTTTCCCCGGCATCTCCTCTGTGCCAGGCCATATGCCAGCTGCTGGAGATATAGTGAAGAGAATTACAGGCTGGTGGAATCAGAATGAAAAAAATGTCATTATCAAGGAGGAGCACAAAGACACCAAAAGGAAAAAAGTCTAGTTGATGAGCAGTTATTACAAATGGAATATCTATTCATTCAGCAAATATTTATTAAGTATTTTCTGAACTCAGGGTTATGGGTAGGAAGATGAAGATACAAATTATTTGGAACAGTGGTTTTCAAACTTTTTTGACTATGACCTGCAGTAACAAACACATTTTACGTCATGAACAAGTGTAAGTACAAACCCACGAAGCTGTGGAAAACAATACTTATCCAAATTACTCTTTATGTATTCTGATATTTTAAAATTTTTGTTCTTTTTTTTTTTTTTTTTTTTCCTTTTTTTTGTCTTTTTTCGTGACTGGCAACGGATC